GTCATTAAGTTGTAATGACAAATTCCGCAATCACTTAGTTGCCAATTCAATAGGTTAAGTTAAAAACGAGTACACGTTTAACGAAAACGTTACACGAAATACACAATCTATGTGAGATCGATAATGAACCTGATCGAAAGTACTTTTTCTTTTTGTATTTCCCTTTTGCAAATTGTTTTCACAAAATTGCTTTGTTATATGAAAGTATGCTTTTTAAAAATCATTTACATTTTCAATCTGTTACTGACAATTTATAACAAAAATTATTTTATGAAATAGGCCGTAATTCTATAAAAGTAGCAAAATGACACATAGGTGTAAAGAAAATGGAAGTCAAAGTGAATTATTGTTTGATGATTTATCTGATGCAGCAAATAACACTTGCGACGAAAATGAATTCACTGATAGCAGCAATATTCCTGAACTAATTGATGTGATTAGACGTAGAAGAAGACTGAATAAAAAATATAATACCAAACGCAAATTAAAAACGTGCATATATGCATCCTATTGCTTGCTGCGCATGCGTTAAAAAATCTGCAGGCCCTGGGAACACGTTGAGCGCGCAGAGCGCTGTACGCAGTGTGTTAAGAAAGGGAATTATCTGGAAGAATACAGAAGTTTGTTCTTGTGAGTAGCGGTTTTTTCGCTGTTCGTGTTAAGAGGCATTTAAGAGATTGTCCTGAGATTTTCGTTAGAAACTTGAAGTAAATTACATAGAATATACTAGTTTGTCAACTAAGTGATTGCGGATTTTGTCATTAGGTGGTATATTGGTGTGGCAACTAAGTGATTGCGGATTTTGTCATTACCACCTAATGCCTTACCACCTTAGTTGCCACACCAATACTATAGGCGAAAATAACTGAGTTTTTACCCGCGAAGAAAGTAGAGTGAAAGAAATTTTAGCTAAATTGACAGCTAGGGCGATAGATCTTCACGAAAGTTGCGAACTATTTCATCTTCGTTGAGTATTGCATGATAACGCAATTGACTTGCAATTAATCGCAAGGGAACGAGAGTTGGTTAGATATCGGAGAAATTCGCGGCAAACCGCAATGTCACTTCGACGCTTAATCATCTGACGGTATGGGGATCGATTCAGACATTTTCTCCGAAGTATCAATCGCAATTAGTAGCAAAGCGTTTCGAGCGTAACCTTTAACAAGAACGTGCATACGATGCAAAGGTCGTACAATGAGAAAAAAGAATCAACGAAAGCAAACCCATTGATGTGTTAAACGTGGAAAACGAGGCACTGCATTCTGGCGAAGGAATTGCGATTCAATAAATTTCGTTGGGTACGTTGTTGCCTGCCATTGAATTACATATGTGTTGAACTGTAACAAACTGCAGCAGCTCGATTGTTTTCGAACAATCGCAACACATTCGATAACTGATTTTTTATTTTATCGTAAATTGCATGGAAGAATTAACCGTTTGCACTCGACAGCCCTTTCGGTTGCGTGTAGCAGCAACTCGAGGTGATTTGCAATGTGGTGATATGTGATGAGCGTCTTGTGGGTAATATAAAATGATTTTATACAAAAATTAATTTAAAAAAACATTGTATTTTAATAATCTATATATATTTGCATCTTTGAACATATCACTTTTTAATATTTTTTCTGTATTTTTTTTTTATGATAATTTATAAAACATCTGCATAAGTTGTTTCGTGTCTTTCTCCTGCTTTGTTTCGGTAAGAAAACACCTTACAGTACTTTTTTCTTCCTGTTAAAATTATATGCAGCTTTCCATTTAATCGAATTTCAACACAATTAGCAGTCGATGTGGAAGCGCGAGCTTGTGGCTGTCAAATATTTCCTCCCAACTGGTCTACTGAAGTTTTTATAAATCGCAGGTGGTTAAGTGGCCTTTCGTTCTTTTGCTTTTTTACAGAGTGTATGAAATAATTAAACAAATTTCCAAATCCAAATAAAGAGCTAAGGAATCTATTTACGAACCAATACTGCGCTCTCACCTGAGGAAAATAGCCTTTCGAGTGTAAAGGGTTAATGGTTATAACAATTAAAAAGATCGATAGTATAGGAATTTTTTATTTATTTAGAAATATTAGAAATTAGGGTTTCCAATGATTTCTATCCTATATGATAAGTTTATTGATCGATAGATCTATTTACAATGGATTAAACAGGAAACGGTGGTTATTTAACGTGAACTAAGTACAGTAATGTGCTATAACTAAAACAACTAAATAGTTAATTCACGACTCACAGTTAATAGTTTATAACTCGTAATAACTCGGCAATTCAACTCACGACTATTCCACTCCAATCTCGCAACTCCACTCCTCACCACTCGACTCCCCACTCAAGACTATTCCACTTGACTCTCTATAATAAGGAGCTGTTTTAGAAATTCGAGAAGTGTCAGGTGCAATGTTACGTTCTTTGGAATCCACAGTTACCTATTTTCTAGCTACTTACATTACAATGCGGGTTCGCTAGCTACGCTCGTAAAGGGCGTATGCGGTAGTAACGTGTCGCGAGTTCGAAACCATCCCTGGGTATATTTGCAACGGCGGAAAATTTCATAATTGGATGTTGCAAGTAAAACAATGTAAATAAACTTTAATAAATTTTATTTATTATTTAACTTTTAATATTTCTTTTTCCTATGATATACAGTGTAACAATCACCTACGTGTAATGGTACATAACAGCTTTTACAAATATATTTAGTTTCGTT